TTGTTGTGTTAACAGATGAGATGATTTAAAGTGTGTTGTTGTGTTGTCTTGCTGCAGTGTTTCATGAACAGCATCCTGCAGTGTCTCAGCAACACCCACAGCCTGAGAGACTACTGCCTGCACAACTCGCACCGCAGAGACCTTAACAACAACAGCCGCACCAACACGGCCCTCATGGAAGGTGAGAGATGGGGCCCTCGGGGCCCCTAGAGGCCACAACGCAGCACTGATGAGACCACTTCCTGTTTACCTGAGGACCAGATCCACATCGTTACCAACACGGTTCTTATAGGTCCAGCATTAAGAGAACTAGTTGTGTCTTTAGTTCACCATCAACATGAAGACGACATCGAACAGAACCAAAAGCATTAGAAGGTGAAACCTCAGCCTCTCACCGACTCCAGAGGATCAGACATGAAGCGGTTAATATATGGTGGAAGTGAAGACGTTCTGCTTCCATTCAATGGATGAAACATCACATTAACTCTTTAGAGTAATTATACAAGTGGTTTCATGGTGTCTTCTTTCGTTGTTTCATGACTCAGTAAAGAGATCAAAAGGTCTGGAGTGGAGTCAGAATGTTGGATTCACATTTGGTAGCCGGTCCTTGGACCTCACACAGGAGAAGAGAAGGAGGTTGTTATGAGGATGGAAGAACTAAAGAACATGAAGCAACATCAACGCTTCATGTCTTAGTTGAGTTAGTTGAGTTAGAGCTGAGCGGAGGAAGACGCCAGCAGCAAGCATCAGATGTAGACACATCTTCTTCTTCTTCTGCTATTTCAAGCACAAACATATTGACATGCAGCACATGGCCATGAAATGATCAACAACAACACAGAGTCAATGAGACAACAAACAACTCAAACACAAAGACGTCCCCGTGTGTGAGTAACTGGACTGTTCTCTGCAGAGTTCGCTAAGCTGATCCAGACCATGTGGACGTCGTCCAGCAGTGAAGCCGTCAGTCCGTCTGAGTTCAAGACTCAGATCCAGAGATACGCTCCCAGATTCGTGGGATACAAGTGAGCTTTGTTTCAGTCTTCACGTCTTTGAGGAGCTCTGAGCGTCGCCTCTGTCTGATGATGATACTAATAACAATAATAAAAATAATAATGATATATGATGTTTCTCCTCCTGCAGCCAACAGGACGCTCAGGAGTTCCTGCGGTTCCTCCTGGACGGGCTACACAACGAGGTGAACAGGGTCAGCGTCAGGCCGAGAGGCTCCGTGGAGGACTTTGACCACCTGCCGTGAGTCGCCCGTCTCACCTGCATGGACACCTTCCTTCACTGATGTGTCCTTCACACTCAATAACCTCAGGACGAGCAGGAGACATCAAACACATCGACACACGGCACACAGCCATGAAATGATGAAGGAGAGGGGAGGGAGGAGAGGGGAGGGGACAGGAGAGGAGGGAGGGGAGGAGGGGACAGGAGAGGAGGGAGGGGAGCAGAGGGGAGAGGAGAGGAGAG